GAATTTCCAAAGAACTGGCCAAGGTAAGGCTGTTCTCGGCGGGTTCGTGAGCGGGTTTGAAGCAAATTATTAAGTTATCTTTATTAACAAACCGCATATTTGACGTCTAAACAAGTACATTCTCGCCTAAAAAACTCTTAAAATTAAATTCCGTGACACAAAAACAGTATTATTTATAAAATTATAATGGATTTGGGCATCCGTCATGACAGTCGCCATGAGAAATACCGCAAGCGGAGTGATACAAATGGTGAAACGGTTGGAGTTCCAATATCCCTAGAATATCACACTCCTCTCAGTCAATCAGATTCGAGGACTAGAAATAACAGTTGTGTATATATATATATATATATATATATATATATATATATGCTACATTCAACCTAAGAAGACATATGTAAATTACATATGAATATTCATGAGTTAATGTTGAAAGAACATATGAATTTCACCACATTTTCAGGTTGTTGAAGCAACCTGAAAATGAAGGATTATACATAATCATAATTAAAATACTACACGTATGACATGAATTAAATAAAGATTCTACACAATTCAAAAACAGTCTAGCATACTGTCTCATGTAATACGAGTAGTATTTTAATTATGATTATGTATGATCCTTCATTTTCAGGTTGCTTAAGAGACAAAATATTATTTGTTATTTTTTAACCCACATATGTTTAATGGGAATAAACAAAGCACTTCCTGTTTTTGTGGTCCCTTCAAAGGTATTGATTATATCGACTACCACCAACCACCACTGCTGAGTTGACGTTGTTTTTCATTCAGAGGTGGCAGAATAGAATGTGATACATTATTTTAGCTGGCTGTCATCTTCTGTTCAGACATTAGCTGGTCAGAAAGGCCATGTTCCAGGATTGCCAAAAAAGTCCAATGTCATGACTCCTGCCTGAGACCCCAGTCCATCAAAGCAGAAATCTTCCAGATGACCTCAGTTTCACCAGTGATCAATGATTATGAAATAGTTGTCTGATGACATCTGGGGAAAGGACTTCCTCCCAACTGTTATTAGAATGTCCATGGTCTCTTCTTTAATTTATTGTGGGAAGCTGGTTGCATAAACTAACAAAATGTCATTGCAAACCTTGGGTGATTGTTTTTTTTTTTTGTCTGTGACCAACATAGTGTAGTACTACGGTGACGCATTGCTGCCGCACACATATTATTTTTTCCACTCAATTATGTCGTTTTAACGACATCTTTTCTCGTTAAAACGACATTTTTTCTCGTAATAACGACATCTTTTCTGGTAATAACGAGATGTTTTCTCGTTAAAACGTCATCTTTTCTCGTAATAACGAGATGTTTTCTCGTTAAAACGACATCTTTTCTCGTTAAAACGACATCTTTTCTCGTTAAAACGACATCTTTTCTCGTTAAAACGACATCTTTTCTCGTTAAAACGACATCTTTTCTCGTTAAAACGACATCTTTTCTCGTTAAAACGACATCTTTTCTCGTTAAAACGACATCTTTTCTCGTTAAAACGACATCTTTTCTCGTTAAAACGACATCTTTTCTCGTTAAAACGACATCTTTTCTCGTTAAAACGACATCTTTTCTCGTTAAAACGACATCTTTTCTCGTTAAAACGACATCTTTTCTCGTTAAAACGACATCTTTTCTCGTTAAAACGACATCTTTTCTCGTTAAAACGACATCTTTTCTCGTTAAAACGACATCTTTTCTCGTTAAAACGACATCTTTTCTCGTTAAAACGACATCTTTTCTCGTTAAAACGACATCTTTTCTCGTTAAAACGACATCTTTTCTCGTTAAAACGACATCTTTTCTCGTTAAAACGACATCTTTTCTCGTTAAAACGACATCTTTTCTCGTTAAAACGACATCTTTTCTCGTTAAAACGACATCTTTTCTCGTTAAAACGACATCTTTTCTCGTTAAAACGACATCTTTTCTCGTTAAAACGACATCTTTTCTCGTTAAAACGACATCTTTTCTCGTTAAAACGACATCTTTTCTCGTTAAAACGACATCTTTTCTCGTTAAAACGACATCTTTTCTCGTTAAAACGACATCTTTTCTCGTTAAAACGACATCTTTTCTCGTTAAAACGACATCTTTTCTCGTTAAAACGACATCTTTTCTCGTTAAAACGACATCTTTTCTCGTTAAAACGACATCTTTTCTCGTTAAAACGACATCTTTTCTCGTTATAACGACATCTTTTCTCGTAATAACGAGATCTTTTCTCGTTATAACGACATATTTTCTCGTTAAAACGACATCTTTTCTCGTAATAACGAGATCTTTTCTCGTTATAACGACATATTTTCTCGTTATAACGACATCTTTTCTCGTAATAACGACATCTTTTCTCGTTATAACGACATCTTTTCTCGTAATAACGACATCTTTTCTCGTTATAACGACATCTTTTCTCGTTATAACGACATCTTTTCTCGTTATAACGACATCTTTTCTCGTAATAACGACATCTTTTCTCGTTAAAACGACATCTTTTTCTCCTTAAAACACGGTATTTTGTACGTGACGTAACAACGTCAGCCTATTTCAGCCATTTAGAACTGAGCTGCTTGGGGTTGCCAACACGGCAGCCTATTACGACAACCTGTTAAAGTCAACAGTTATCAAAGTCAACTGTAATAACATCAACATGGAATTTTGGAGTTTTCTTCAAAATCGTGGGGTTTCAGAGGAAGATATTCAAAAAATGCAGCTGGACAAGGTAAGTTACTGAATTGTGCTAATGCAAACTATAAAAAGTTTTGAGCCAGGGGTGTACAACTAAGTTCCTGGGGAGCCACAGCCCTGCAGAGTTTAGATTAAACCCTGATTAAACGTGCATGATCCATCTAATCACGTCCTCCAGGCTTATTTGTCCTCCGTGAACATTAACTGAAAATAGGATTTAAAAAAAAACTACAATATGTTCGTTGCACGCAATGTGTAGACTACTTTTAATAAATGTGTTTGACTGTCATTCATATCTGGTGTAACTAGTTCTATATGGGATTTACAATACATTTATATAATAAAATAAATGTATATTATAAATAAATAAATAGTGATAAAGATTAAAGGTTTTTTAAATGGTATTAATCCGTAAATTCAAATTCGAATTTTTTTTAATGAAAAAAAAGCCTTAATCTGTTTTAATGATTGATTGATTCAGTCGTTCATTAAACAGATTCGTTCAAATGGTACTACAGAACAAGCCAAATGACTGTCTTTTATGAATACAGTAGATTACGAAATTTAAATACCATGGATTTATTCAGTAACAAGGCACTGTTGTGGGTTGCTCATACACCTTTTGCTGTGGCTTTGATTGGAACTATTTTCATTTGCAAAATAGAGTAAAAACATAACATAATGTAATAACAGGAAATAAATTAAGGAATAAATTCCTTGATAAAATAAATGTAGTTTATTTTTTATAATATTTAATCCGGATTTTATTATTCGTATTACTCCCCCACCCCTTAATTTATCTTTTTATGTATGTCTTTTTATTTAGATTATTCTTTTTTTAACTTTTATTTAAATTTACTCATAATGTTAAGTTATTAATGTTGTCTATGAGACATTTCCTTTTTGTGGATCTACTAAATCTTATTTCTAATATCTTTTAACAGATAGATGATACTACTATCCAAGAGCTTGATGATGACAGCTTGTCAAGGTACATTCCCATCTATGGTGATAGGATTGCTGCAAGGCGCTTCTGTAAGGAAAATGGCAACAAAAGTGAATCACATGCTACAAGACAGACTCTGCTTGAAAAGCTAAGACAGAAGATGGGAATAAACAACAGAACAGAAGCTGATGAAGATTCTTCTGAGAATTTCGAACCAAAACGCAGACGGCACTTGAAGAACAACAAGATGGCTGAGAAAACAACAAGAAAAATTGAGATAGGATGGTTTCACGAGGGTAAACAAGTAAGGAAGCGCTCAGGTGGAGGAACTAGAACCATTGATATCTCTAAAAATGCAAAGAAATCTGATATTTTAAGTCAAGCAAAGGAATTGTTCTTCCCAAGAGGAGTGTCCAAAAAAGGTCTGTGGGAGAACTTTAATCATGATGTTTTTGATTTTCAAGAATCAGAGCTTGAAGATGACATTACTGTGGGAGAACTCTACACAGTACTTAAAATGGGAATGCTAAGATTTTACCTGAGTACAAAGTGCATCCCACATGATGATGAACTTAATGTGAGTGATACTGAGACACAAGCAGAATTGCATAAACCACAAGAACAATGTGAAACTCCTATCATTTCTGTTGATTCAACTGACTCCTTATCTCAGTCACCTGAAGTTATAATAGGCCCATACATAGGTGAATCTATGGTATGCCATCTGGATGACACTTTGATTTATGAACCGATGCACTTGCCTGTAACACACGACTCTGACTTTGCAATCACTAACATAATTTATCCGTCAACAAGCGATGTAGTCAGTGTGATTGATTTGAGTTTGACAGAAGAGGCTTTCAGTCCTGTTGCAGATCAAGTGGAGGATGCAGCTCATGTAGTCAACTCTTCAGGTTCTGAATATGAGCTCCTGCATGTAACCATAAAACTGCATAGGATCACTCTTTTGGATGAGATGACTGGCCAGTTTAAAGACCCAAGGATCATGACGTACAAATTGAAGTACAGTATCATAGATGAATTGGGAGCGGATGAAGATGGTGTATCCAGAGATGTGTACTCAGGCTTCTGGTCTGAATTTCTGGATCGTGCAGCTGAAGGGGAGGATATGAGAGTGCCATCACTCTCTCCAAAATGGCAGGAGGAAGACTGGAAGTCAATCGGAAGAATCTTGGCCAAAGGATACAAAGACCAAGGATATTTTCCAACTCGTCTGGCAACAGCTTTCACAGTGGCACTCATTTTTGGAGAGCATTCAGTCACAGATGAAATGATGATTGATTCATTCCTTTTATACCTGAGTCAGTCAGAGAGAGATCTGGTCTCCTGTGCCTTAAAAGAAGATCTCCTTGGAGATGACAAAGATGAACTGCTGGATCTTCTGGATCGTTTGGGTGTGACCACCATGCCAACACAACAAAACCTAAAAGAACTGATGCTGAAAGCTGGACACAAACAGATCATCCAACTACCTAAATATGCTTTAGACAACATGTCTAAAGAAGCCAAACATATTTTCAGAGAAACCTTCAAAAGTCCAGTGGACGTTCTACAGATGTATGAAGACAAGAGACCAACAACAAGAAGGTTTTTGAAGTTGCTCGAAGGCTCACCTTCAGAAACAGGTACAATTCAATCGCTTCATCAGGTGTTGTGGGTGGATGAAGATGGTTCTCTTCCATGAGAAGACAGGATAAAGTAAAAACTGTCTCATCACATGAGTATGGCCCTCTCTGAAGGCATTCCTCTCTACAGGCTTCTACAGCCTCCTGAGAGACAGGCTTCAGGTAATCTCTTGCTCCAAAAAGTTGTGGCAGGTGATACATCATGAGAGGACGGCCATTGGGAGCCACAGCATTTCTGCAACGACGAATTCTGTGAGTATTCCACAAATGCAGGACTTGTTGCAGCTCTTCCTATAACAGTGAAATAAACAAACACGTTCCATGATTTCATTAGCAGACAGAAGTATAATCTAAAGCAGGGCTGGACAACTCTGGCCATCAAGATTCAGCTAGAGCGTTTAGCTCCAGCCCTGATCAAACTCTTCTCTGCTTGTAGCTTTCTAGCATTCCTGAAGACCCTGATTAGCTTGTTTAGGTGAGTTTGATCAAGGTTGGAGCAAAACTCTGC